TTATTTGGGCAAAGCTTTCATTACTGTATTGTTTATAATAATGAAATTTTGGAAATACAGGCATACCTTAGAGATATTGCGGGTTTGGTTCCAGACCACCACAATAAAGTGAGTATCGCAATAAAGTGAGTTGTAATCTATTTGGCTTCAATTTGTAAAAAACGTACCATTTATGAAGCGCAATAAAGTGAAGTGCAATAAAACAAGGTATGCCTGTATGCCTGTAACCCAAATACCCAACATAAAGGGTAAAAATAAACTATGGTATAACGATCCAATGGCACATTATAAAAGTATCTTAAATTATTTTGTGAAGAGAATAACAACATGAAAAAAATGAATGAAAAAGCAATTGGCAATTTAAAAAAATCTTCCCTCAACTATTGGGTTGTCGGAAAAGTCATGACATATTTTGTCTATGTTTTTCAAAGGTCATTTATTTATATAAAGAACAAAGATTAATCATGATGTATTGCCCGTTTTGTTCAATAACATTTTGCCATCTTTCAGTGAGCTTCATAATTCCCTCGTTCATAGAAGGACCTGTCTTTATTTGCAAAAAACTGAACAAGGTGCTGATTTACAGCCTCATCTGAATTGAACGTTATACCACGCAAGGAGTTATAAAGAGAGCGAAACAAGTGGAAGTCTGACAGCGCAAGGTCAGGCGAGTAGGGTGGGTGTGGTAACACATCCCATCCAAGCTCCAATAATTTTTGACGGGTGACCAAACTTGTGTGTGGTCTCGCATTATCGCAATGGAACATAACTCCTTTAAAATTAACAAGCTCTGGACGTTTCTGGATGATGGATTCATTCAAACTGTCCAATTGCCGACAGTACACATTCTAATTGATTGGTTTCTTGGTAGGAGCTTGAGAAACACGACACCTTTAAAATCCCACCACACTGAGAGCATAACCTTCCTCTGATGAATGTCTGCTTTCGATGTCATTTGAGGCGAATCATCACGTGGGGNCAAAACAACTTAAGAGAATTTTCTGGTCAGTTTTCTTTATCAAATTGAATATTCAGTCTTTCAGAGTAGCAATATGAAGATCAGAAATGCAAAGTTAAAACTCTAGGAGTTTCTGCCTATGGCAAACAGAAGGTATTGCATTATGTAACTGTTAATAAAGGCATACAACAGGGCCGGTAGAGTGGTTCAGTTGGTTAAGAGCTTGCTCAAGAGTGCGAGCTCTGAGCAACAGGGTCGCCGGTTCGATTTCCGGCCGGAGCTGAGCTGCCAACAGGTGGCAGGATGGCTCAGCTAAAAATAATAATAATAATTAAAATTTTAAAAAATAGGGGCATACAACAGTGGTCTACAATTAATTATGCTGTGCCAAGTTAAAGGCATCTGGTTTTCATGCTGTTGCCATGGGCCTCTGATTACCCTGAGTTCCTTTCTGTATTGCTGCTCTATACAAATTTATAGCTTTCCATGGTGCGAGTGTGGAAACTGAAGAGGATATAAAATACTGACAGGCTAGTGATAGTAAAATCATGATGAGAGCATAGTAATAAATGAACTGAAGCATCGTTCCATTCTTCATCTTCCCAGTGTGCAAAAAAGAGGCACCCTAGAAGCACTGGGTTATAGGCCAAAGGTCTTGAGTTGTATGGATTCCTTTTAAGATTCTCACTAAGAAAAGATCTGCCTTCCCCACAACCCACCATCATAACCTTGGTTATCCATGGTGTCTGGACCTTTCCCCATGATCAAGGTCTGTGGACTGTGCAGCATATTTGTGGCTTTTTTTACTTCCAAATCCCAAAACTGCCTTCAGATCTGGACTTCTGGACTTGTTATTTGAATTCAAAGAAGCATGATTTAGTAATGGAAAGAAGCAGTCAGCCAATTAAAGATAATAAGGCTCTGATGGCTGCCACATTATTATGAGCCAAAGGCTTTGAATGGTAGTGTCTTTTCATAGTTGAACACAAAGTAGGGACAAGTATTGGTTCTTGGAATTTTCGGAAGCCACAATCTGGAGAAGTTGGAGCTTGTCTTACACTTCAGGCTGCCCTCTTTGGTTAGATGGAAAAAGGAAAATGGGAATGTGGTCTATTAAAGTGATAAAAGCCACAGGAAAAAATACAGTTCTATGTTAAATTAATATTTGTCTTTGTTGGTCTGTCTAGGAATTTTTAAATAATGGGAGAGTTTTTCAGGGGAAAAAAGCTAAAAACCTCTGAAAAACTCTATTCATTAGAAAACCTAAGCACACACCCGGTTTTTTTTTTAAGCTTTCCAGAGAAAATGGTTTTAAAAAAATGTAAGCTATAAACAGAGGGTTAATAGAAATAATGATGTAAAAATCGATACCAAAGTTACTTTATAATTGGTAAATAAAAAATAAGAGAGGATGTGAAGCAATTTGTTCAGAAGACCTAAAGATAGTATCTTGGAAGAAAGGCTAGTGACCTTTTTTCAGACAACACTTCTAAATACATTTAAAAATATTCTTCTAACTTCCCTGTAAGGAATAATAAAGATTCCCTGTCAACCATCCTAATTTCAAACTGTGTGGATTATAGCCCAAACATTGTTTTGCAAGTCAGTTGCTTTAAACTTGGGATGCATTTTCTTTTAGAGGTAAATTAGATATAAGGTTAGGTTCTAATGACCATTAAAACTCAATAAATCCACTCTGTATTTGAAATAGAATACAAATGCCATTATTAACCCAGACTATCATGTATATGGAGGTTTTTAATGTGCTTAATGTCCTACCAAGGACAATACAGTCTCCCGTATGGGATGCTGGAATATCAGAGACTATGGAGACAAGTCTCTGTAGGGAAGGAGTGGGTGGTGTGGTTGGGTGGGATGGGAGGGTTAAAAGCTAAGAGCTCCAGAGGGTTGGGGTCTCCCAGAGTTCTGTTCTGGACACACTTGTACATCCCAGTCCAACTACTTTCTTTATATTTTCAATAGTAAAGTCACCCCAGGAGAAACAATAATTTTTCATACAAAGTTTTTCTTTGCTTAAGAAAAATGGCTTCCATATTGCTGTTTTAGCTCAGTAACTTCTGGTGCTGCCCAGGTATTTCTTACCTGAGTCTCAATCTGCTGTTCTTTTTTGACATTACGAAGCTGTTTTTGAAGAGATTTTATTTTTTTTCTTCCTTCTTCTTCCCTAGAAGAGATAATAATGATTTGTGTTCAGAGCAGTGCTTCTCAAACTTCAGTGTGCAAAAGGATCACGTGGATGTTAAAAAACAAATTCCTGGGCTCTATCCCCAGAGATTCTGGTTCAGTAGGCCTGAGATAGGGCCCTGGAATTTGCAGCTCTAACAAGTTCCCAGGTGATGCTAATGGTGCTGGTCCATGGAGCACACTTTCAGCGACACTTTTAAAAGACTGGGATTTGGGTTAGTAAATTGAAGGAGGATTTTCTGGCTTATCAGTCTTGTATCTAAAATAGCAGCTGCTGAGAAAAAAACTAAGAGAAGGAACAGGAAGAGGAAAAAGAAGAACCTTTTCTATTCTGAGCACTTCACATAGTCTTACCTAACATTAACCTTTATGAAGTTGTCTCTATCATTATCCCTAATTTACAGATGAGGAAAATGCAGCTTAGAGAGCTGAGGTAACTTGCTGTGGTGGANTTTGTATAATATTCAGATGGATAATTTAAAAGAAAATATGGGCTACAGCTCATTCATTAGGCTGGTAGAACTGAAGTTGATTTTTCTTTCCTTAAAAATTCCTTTTTGCTCTCCTTGGTATTTTATAAGTGGAACACAAACATATCAGAGGATAAAAAACTTTTGGTGACTCACCTGCTGCTCCTTTCTGAGGAACGTTTCAATCTCCACATGAATCCGGTTCTCTCCTTCCATTTTCAACCTTAGTTTCTGTGAGAACAATAAACCAATAAACCAGCCGGGTTGGAAATCTCTTCTCAACTCTTTCCAGAGGTGTCTCTGTGACAGCAGCACAGGTTTTCTTTACCAGCTGGGATCCCCCGAACTCCGCAGTATTGCTGCAAAGCTACACAATTCAGTTCCCTTCAACTCAAGTGTCTACAAACGTTGCTGAGCCGTGTGTCAGGCACTGTGATAGATACATGCAAGTGCCCAGAACAAAAGGACCTAATCCAGTTGCCTGGAAAGGCATGTCAATTTAAGGAGAGAAACATGTTCCAAAGGCACAGGTTCTTAGGCCTAGAAAAGGAAACCCCAGAATGCAAGAACAGTTTGCTGTCCTAGCCTTAAGCCACACCTGGGAGTAAGCGTTCAAATAAGTAGGGGGCTCAGAGAAAGGAGTCCTGCACACGATGACACACTCTACTGAGTTGGCTCCTTCTGGCCTACCTGTTGTTCTTTTAGCCATTTACCCTTCCTCCTCTCAGGAGGGTCTACCTCTTGCTTCTTTCTCCTGATACTTTTCACTGTGACTTCTCATCTCAATAAATTTAAGTTTGAATGTAGTTCAGCTTTAGATTTCTATTTCTGAGTGGCGGGACAAGTTACTGGTTGGGTGAGGAAAGCAGCAACAAAAACCTGCAGTTACTACATATCTTGTTTTGTCCTCTCCAGAAAGTACAACCAATTTTCAATCATTACCAAAATAAATAAATAAATAAATAGGAGATATAGGATCTATACAGCTCATCAGAATCTCTGCTTGCAAATATGCCAAGTCTTCCTTCCGTTTTCATTTTTAACCTCAAATGATAGGGCCGTAGGAGAGAGAAAGCAATGATCAGGAAAATCTCCCTCTCCGTCCTCCTTTGTTAACTGAGGTGGTATCAGGAGTGACAGCTCAAATGCCATTCATTACCTGGCTCCTTCCTAATGTAGCGGTGATTACCTCAATCTCTTCCAGCAAGAGCTCCTCTGTTTTGTTACATTTTTTCCGGGTCTGGGAAATCTGCAGCTCTGTATTTTTCTTCATATAACGATCCTCCATGTTGGTTTTTGCCTTCATCTCTTGCAACTGGTCCTTGAGGTAAGCAATATATTCATTCTGACTCTGTAGAGGTAAGATCAGATTTCTAGATTAAAATACATTCTACTTCCATTCAGTTCAGTCAGTGGCTTAAGCTTACCTTTTTTTTTTAGCTGAGCCATCCTGCCACCTGTTGGTAGCTCAGCGGCAGCTCAGCTCGGGCTGGGACTCTAACTGCTGTTGCTCAGAGCTCACACTCTTGAGCGGAAGCTCTTAACCAAGTGAGCCACTCGGCCGGCCCAAGCTTACCTTTTGTATTTATAAATCAACAAGGAATTGGATCTATTTTTCTGCTATCACACTATGGGAAATCTAGCCAATCATCATGGATAGTATAAAAGAAAATGAAAGATAAGTAGTTCTAAGCATCAGGACTGTGATGCTTAATTCTAGGCACACTATTTGGGTACTCTGT